AGTGGGAGCAGTTGGAGTAGACAGGTAGACAGATGTAAACAATTCTAATGACAGCAGCAGCATCTACAGTCATGCATAAATAAAACATTGGATTGACCGCTTACATCTGCTACATAATGAGCTGCTATGTTTAAGAATTTGCCCTTAAAAAACCCCCAAAAAACATAATTTAGTTTTTTTGTCACTTTACGTAAAAAGGTTACACATTTTAAGCAGACCAGAAAAGTCAAGTAAAAGTATCATTCAGCGCATCTGCATTTAACCCATCCCTGAAATCCACAAGGGCCTCAGTCAGGAGCGGCAGGGGAAATCGGAGCACCTGGAGGAAACCTATGCAGCCACGAAGAGAAAATGCAAACTCCACTCAGAAATCCCTCTTCCGATCCGAATTTGAATCTTCTTGACAAATCCTGCTGAGAAGTGAGAGGGCTAACCACTCTGCCACTGTGTATGATAGACTCATTACATGCAAAAGTGTGATACATCAAACTGTTTTGTTATGATGTTGGTAACTGGCTCTCAGCAGTAAAACCCCAAATCAAACTGGACTATGAGCCATAATTATCAACATGAAAACAAACAAAGGCCAGGCATATGGCGCTAATGAGTCAATAATCTGAGCTGAATCACAGAAATGCTGTAATAAACTTTTGCTAGATACTAGAACTCCTACAGCAGTTAATTTTGATGGCTGCATATAAATCATTCTAAATTCTGTAAAAATCATAAAACTCATTTTCAGTTTTCTACTATTTAAATGAAAATCAAGCATTTTTTAGGATTTTAACCTTTAAAACCTGCTAAGACTCAATATAACTTGAAATACAGCAAAACAGTTTGTTGAAAGGCCACCCAAGGCCAACTGCTGTCAAGTAAACAGTGCGTTGCTATGGTAACTAGCACTTGCTCTTCTCTGGTGGAAAAACAAGCTGACTCAGAACCAGTACAGGACCAGCCCAGGACCAGTCCAGGACCAGTCCAGGACCAGTCCAGGACCACCATGTTGTTGCCAAGGGACCATATAAAAAGTGTAATTTTGCATTCAAATGATTAGAGCTGTCAAAATGACTGCTCTGGGAGTTAAAGTTAGAATTCCTCACAGAAATTAAAAGCTTATTGAATAAAAAAATGACATAGAGAATAACTACAAAAAGGTCTGAAGGAAGTGGGTTCAATTCCCACCTCGACACCTTCTCCACCAACTCCCACTGATGACTGCTGTCGTTGTGTCCTTGGGCAAGACACTTAACCCCACTTTGCCCAAAGCCCCCACTGAAAGATCAAGGCTATGCTCACACTCAGAGAGCAGCCGTCCTCCTGTGGACTCACCACCTGCAGACGGTCAGTGAGGGGCTGGTGCTATGAGACTTGGGTGGCATCTCTGACTGCCACCCCCCTGACCCAGAAATGGATTAAAGGGTAGAAAATGGATGGATGGATGGATTTTTTGTCACATACACATTAAACATCCGTCAAATTTCTTATGTACCTCCATCAGATTATTTGGGAACACACAATAAAACAGAATAAAACAGAAACAGAGACAGAGTTTATAGTGGTCTCATTCCTGGCTGGTGTGTATGTATCCAGCCACAACACTGACAGTAAATCGCCAATAAGACAGGCGGCTGTGAGGGTCCTGGGGTCACCCTGCAGACCGTGGTCCGGCCCTTACTCCACGGTATTGAGCCGTGTCCTCTTGGATCTCTCTCTGATCTCCTTCAGCGCTCTCTGGGGAAGCGTGGTAGCGTCTGGCCTGCAGCTCCTGTGTCTCTGAGGCAGTATTTTGTAACAGCAGTGACAGCAGTTGTTAGGGAGTTACCATGGAGACCACCGCCCCTGAGTGAATGCTGAGCGGGGGAATGCAGGGCTGCTGTTTTGAGAAGGATATGTCTAATGCCTTAAATATAGTCGTTCACCTTCCCCTCCTGCAGAACCTAACACTGAAACGACTCGGCTGGTCTAATGAAAAGGCAATTTGTGTTGAAAATGTGTGATATTGTGCATAATTGGATTAGATGCATTAGAAGGGATCGTTTCATTAAATCGTGTCAACATCGCGTTTATGGCTTTGAAAATCGTCAGGGCGTGATAATTTGCGACAAACTATTATAAGTCATGGCGCACATTTTCACAAGGGTACTACACTGCAAAAGGGATAAAAAGTCAGTCACATTTTGCCAAAATTGAGCCTGTTTTATCTTAATTTGAACATATGGAGATAAGATTATTTAAAGAAAAATGATCTTGTTTTCAAAAGACACAAGACATTTCTCCATCGGAATGAGAAAATGAAGCAACAGTTTTAAAATAAGACTAAATGGCTTTGTCCCTTTGGCAAATCTTGTGTTAAGACAGTCAGAAAGTGCTCAAATTAAGATAAAATCTGCTCAATTCAAGCAATTATTACCTCAATATTTGATCATTATTTGCAGTGTATAGTGTTACATATCAAGATTATATTATCATTTTCGAGGTGTTCTTTAACTCCTCAGTCAGGGACCTGTATGAAGTAAGTGTCTAACCATTATTTTGTGTTTATTGGTGGCACAGGCCTTTCTGTGTGGAGTTTGCATGTTCTCCCGTGTCTGCGCAGGTTTCCTCCGGGTGCCCCATTTCCCCCATAAAAGCGCTAACAATAGGTGCATGTTTGTGAGTGCGACTGTGGGAATACAGATGGAAATTGGCAACAAAAAGTTATAATCTGGTGTATTTTCTGTTCCATCCAAATAAATAAACACATTGAATGAAATAGATTTTTTTTCCAGTCCACTTTCTTTATACACCATTTTTTATGAACAGGACATTTTCCAAAATCATACACAAGTAATGTTATTTAAACTAATAACCACCAAGTTTCTGACAGAGAGCCAATAATAGTGTGTTCCATTCCTTTTCTATTCTTGCTTCGTTTGGAGCTGTTATATCCCCAAAAAATGACTTTCAGTTTCTCATTTTGCCGTCTAAAAAGCAGCGCTGCTTCTCAAATGCTGCTTCAATTTCACAGGCCGTGCTTATTGACAAACAGTTGAAGAAAAATACAAACCCAAAAGAATTCATTTACAAAATCGAGAGACTCTAAAACCACTTTGTCAAAGAGGGAAGAGTAATCTGTTCAACTTGTTAGTGAGGAAGAAATCTTATTAGAATCCCCCGCCGTAAGATTCGTATCAAAATCCAATTAGACAAAAGGGTGATTCATGTTGGCACTTGCAAAAGAAATCTCAATTGGAAAGATTATTTTTCTGTTGAGAAAATGTCCAAATATTTTCTTAGATCAATATTCTGTGCAGCAATTCTATATTCTTAAGTCTAAAATCATTTCTACTGGGCAACATGACGGAAAATAGCCCTTAGGCTCATTCTGGCATATTTACAAGTGACAATATTCAAAAAACATGTGCATAATGTTTATTTATTGATTCATTAAAGGGACAGTGCATATTACTGTCCCTTTAATGAATCAATAAATAAACATTATGCACATGTTTTTTGAATATTGTCACTACTTCAAGACAAATTTACGAGAAAATAACTAGACCTTAGTTTTAAATGTATGGAACCTTGTGATAGTTTATGTTGTTTCTAGATTGACACAGAAATGACAGAGAAATTAGCTCTAAACCAAGATTGACTTTTGCCCACCACAACTAAGGCTCTTTGGTATGTTGTGATGTCACATTACAGAGCAGTAGGTCCCGTTCCATTTGGTTGAACGCAAACTAATGGAATCCACTTACTTAAAAATCCTATTACTCCTATTTCTGGTGATTCAATACTTACTTCTTACTTACTTACTATCCCAAAGCCAGAGATTTTATAATTCATTCTTGCTTTTTTATCACACTAAAGTCAGATATTTTATTAGATTTGCTTCTTTATTATGCTGAAGCTATATATTGTATACTTAATTCTTTATTAAGCTAAAGTAAGATATATTAGACCTGTTTCTTTTTTATGCTAAAGTTATCTAAACTATATTCCTTGATTTTATTTTTGTACAGAGTTATTTTTCACTTTTCTTGTGCAGTCTGCTCCTCATTCCTAATGCTCTGTAACTGCTGATGCAACACTGAAACTTCCCCACTGTGGCACGACAAAAGGATCTCTTCATCTCTATCGTTGCGTACAGGTGTCAGGCAGAAACTAAACATCAAGAAAAGTTGCTAGCAAAATCTTTATTAGACAGTAGCAACTTTTTTTTGTGTTTTAGAAATGCTAATCCCTAACACAGTGCCTATAACTTTGTATGAGGTTTGTGGATCTCCCCAAGGTTTCTCACTTTTTCCCCACTGGGTTTTTATTTTGCCGATGCAGGAGGGTCTGTAGGACAATTAGTTTCAAGAAGGACTGTGGGGATGATCCAGGACACTTTAACATTCTACAACATGTATGGACATTTATCAACATCCATGGACATTGGTCTCTCCCTATACATGTAGATCAATATATATGTGTTCTATATATATTTTTATTTTGTCTTAACTGTTAATTCTCTGATCTGTGTTGGTGATTTCAATGCTTTTGTTAAGTCCTTTGAGATGACTGCTGTTGTGATTTAGGGCTATACAAGAATAAATTGTATTGTATTGTGTCACTTTGTACATTGTGATTACATGTTCTCCGGACACATTGCTGCAGCTGCGACTGTCCATTGTTTGCTTTGGCGAGTAGGTTGAGATGCCTGCGTGCGTCATGGCATGCACGGGCAATCAGGAGGGTAAAAAGGGGAGTTTGCCCGACTAACTCAGCCCCCAATGCGAGCCCCTTCACTTGTTGTCATGCACAGGCAGTTCCTCTCCGGCACAAAAGCAGGCTGGCAACACAGGAGCCATGTGTTTGGGCTCCACGCTTTGAAGGACACTTTTTTTTTTTTTTTTTTCTCCCCCCTTTCTCCCCCAGCCAGAAGAAAGAAAAAACAAGTTGCAAAAAGGGAGGGCAGCGAAAAAGAGCAAAAAAGAGTGGAGTTGAAAGAGAGTGCAAGTGTAAGTAAGACAGACATGGGACAGGAGAAGGATAAGACAAGTAATTCTCGGCGTGTTCTTCTCGTCCCACTGTGAGAGCAGAGACTCATCCTGGTCCTGTTTTTTTTTGAGGATATCTTTCGGCAAAAGCACAAAAGGTACGTTTGAAGGGATTGTAAATTAGGACAATGAGGGGAGCAGCATAAGAGGAGCCTTGTCTGCAGCGATGGCATTTGGGAAAGGAGGGGCGGCCGGTGGAAAAACTCATTAGGCGATTCAAAGGTTGTTGTCCTGCAGAGTTTTGTCAATTTTTGCATTTGTTTTGATGAGTATTATTCAACTTCCTGCTAAACTTGTTCTCAACTCTATTACCCACAGTTAAAGTTAGAACAAAATGACAAATCTGTGTATTAGAAAGTCATGTCCATAAGAAATTTAGAAAGAAAGAAATTTGTTCATCTAATTCTACTGCTGTTTCAGGCTGGAAGAATATTTTATTTTACGGAATTATTAGCAATAGCTCAAAACAAATGAGGCTAGATCCATGACCATATTGACAGAACAACAAGATACAATTATTTTTAAACATTTTTTATCTTTTAGTTTATATATGTGTGTTGTGCAAGAAATCTGTACCAAATGTATCGAAAAAATACCGAAATATACTTATTCTCTTTTCTCCAACTCAAAATTGAACGTAGGACTATACAATGTGCCTTGTATGACAACGATTAAGCTCTATGTTAATTATTTTGCCATTTTATCAGAAAACACATGTATTTTGATCATGAAAATTGCAATATTTGTATTATCATTGTTATTATAATTATGGTTTGTCCCAACAGATTGTCATGTGAACAACAGAATAACAGGTCACATCACGCAGTAAAACCTTTGAGTCATTGAATCATACTTTGGGCTGAGAGCTGATTGGCCGAGTGAAGGTGGTTCTTTATTTTCCACTCTCTGTCTGATAAAGCTGATCAAAAAAATGGACAGAGGCATATACTGTACACATACATGAGACAATTATATATATTTTGAGATCTATAGGAATTACTGTGGGCGACAGTAGCTCAGTTGGTAGAGCATTGGCCTTAAGCCCAGAAGGTCGTGGGTTCAATTCCCACCTCTGCACCTTCTCCACCGACTCCCACTGATGACTGCTGTCGTTGTGTCCTTGGGCAAGACACTTAACCCCACTTTGCCCAAAGCCCCCACTGAAAGATCAAGGCTATGCTCACAGTCAGAGAGCAGCCGTCCTCCTGTGGACTCACCACCTGCAGAGGATCAGTGAGGGGCTGGTGCTATGAGACTTGGGTGGCATCTCTGACTGCCACCCCCCTGACCCAGAAATGGATTAAAGGGTAGAAAATGGATGGATGGAGGAATTACTATGTCGATTTTTTGACATAGTTCCAATATTTGGTTGGAAAGTTTTGTAATTATCTATTTGTCTTTTTTTATGTTAGCTATTGTTTCCCACACTTTTTTTAGCTTGTTTTATTCTATGCTTGCTTTATGTATTTATCTATTTTCCCGGTGCACATTGGGGACTCTTGCAAATGTATTCCAATGTGGTTTTACTGCAATTGGTAAACAACATGAACCTGAATCTGAGCTGTGTGTCCACTTCTCTTCTGTCTCTTCCTCTGTCTTCAATAAACTGTACCCACAATGCCCCCTCTGCCCTGACGATGTGCCCTCCTCCAGAGCGCCATGATGCCGCGAGAGGACCTGTCCCTGAGGGAGGAGTTCTCCTACAGCCACATGTCTCTGGAGCGGGGAGGGGGGAACCTGGGGAGCCTGGGCCGCCGTGGGGACCGGAGCCTGGACCGGGGCCTGGACCGGAGCCTGGACAGGTGATGATCCAGGACACTCCACATTCAACAACATTTATGAACTTTATCAACATTTATGGACGTTAGTCATCTGCCCCTTATGGAACAATGGCTATATGTGTTTTTTATTATTGCATTTCTTGTGTTTGAACTGTTTGATTCTCTGATCTGTGTTGGTGAATTGACGGCCTTTTACACTACAAAAACTGATGAAAATAAGTAAAAAATTGCTCAAATTTGGCAAAATGTATCTTGATTTGAGCACACTTTGTCTGCTTTAAAACAAAATTCACCAACGGGACAAAGCAAAAGGTTCTTGATTTAAAAACCACACAAGAAATGTCTCCCTTGGCTTGGAATGATCAAGTAAAGCAACATTTCTTGAAATAAGACTAAATGGTTTTGTCTTATTGGAGAATCTTGTTTTAAGACTGTCTGAACATTCTCAAATTTAGAAACAACAACTCGAATCAACCATGTATTACCTTGTATTTCATAATGTTTTGCAGTGTAAAGTCCTTCAAGATAACTATGGTTTTGATTTATGGCTATGCAAAATTCATTGAATTGAGATGAATTGACAGGAGCATGGACAGGAGGCTGGACCGAAGCGTGGAGCGGACCATGGAGCGGAGGCTGGAGCGGGACAGGGGCGACCGGCCCGAGCTCCACGACAGTTACACGGTGGAGGTCAGAGCCAGCGACCTGCAGCTGTCGCCCCAGCCGCCCCTCAAGCACCCCTGCCTCACCTGCCGGGCCTGGCTCTACAGCGTGGTGATTGGGGTGAGAACCAACACTGAAGGGCAGGTTTGGGATGAGGCTTCTAGAATCAAAACAACTGTTGTGTTTTGGAAAACAGGGAGGAAAAGGTCTGAGGCTCTCACACTGAAATAAAAATTCTTTTTTATTGTGGGGACATGGCGGACCCTTCCCTACCCTGCATCTTTAGACTAATATAAATATTCCGCATAACTGCAGTTTTGAAACATTCAAATAGCAATCAATGTTCAATGTGCCTTGTACAAACAATCATATGATAAAAAAGGTTGCACAAAATGCATTGTTTGTTTCCATCAGATATCACATAAAGGGAATCATTTATGTTAATCATGAACAAAATATCAATATCATTATTATACTCTTATTATTATTATTTGGTTTGTACTGTACCAACAGACAGTCTTGTAAACAACAACAGTAACATCAGGCCACGTCCAACTGTGAAAAATATTTAAATGAGAATAGATTTTTAAAAATATATATGTTCTGTGCCATAAAAAAACTAAATAAAGAAAAAAACTGCCAGTATTTTTGTCTATTTTTCTGGAAAAATGTATTACGTAATGATGTATTATGGGTAATGGAATACAATACAAGTCCTTAAACCATGGCTTTGTTGACGCATTTTTTAAATAACTAAAATATTTCCATTGTGTAATAATAAAATGTTTTAATTTCAGCAACATTTCTGATTTATCCAAAGTCTTGAACATAATATTACTCTTTTTGAGATGTACTTGTTTAACAGACTATTCTGTTTACAATAGTTTGAGGTCAAGCTGGTCTGGTTAACAATGATTATTATAACATTTTAATTAGAGTAATTTTTTTCAGCTAGCTAAGTTTGTATAGATGCAGAGATTAGGAACAATTTGATGGCATTGAGAATATTTGGTGGAGAAAAACAGTTTCGCACATACATACAGTACATACATATAAAAGTCTGTATTCCAAAGTCTAAATCTCGTAAATGTAAAAGTGTCTGTTCCTGCACATGCACAGGGCTGCTTGCTCATCACCTCTGGGTTCTCCTTGTACCTTGGAAATATCTTTCCCATCGCAATGGACTACCTTCGCTGTGCTGCTGGCTCTGTGAGTCACTACAAAACACATCCAAAATGACTTCATACAACTGTGATGGTACTTGAATGGTTTTGTAATACATCTGGTAAATGGTTTCATTTCTTCACAGGGTCTGCCAGCTGCAATAGCTAGTTTCGCCATCGCAAAGAACAGATATGTTGCAGTGAGTAAAGATGAATTAAACCATATATTAAAATACATAAAAATGATTACAGATGACTGACGTTTGTCCTGTTTTTCATTGCTTTAGGTTTCAGATTTCCAGGTGGTCTATGTTTCCACCTTTGCAGTGACAACCACGTGTCTGGTCTGGTTTGGATGTAAACTCGTCCTCAACCCGTCGGCTGTAAATGTAATGTATCTCTTCAATTTGTGACATTTGCACAACAGTTAGTGCATTTCTCAGAACAAGTAGTGCAAACTGCAAAACCTCGAGGATAACCTGCAAAAGTGCGTCACTTTCTCAAAATGAAAAGTTAATTCCTCAAAATTCAATGAAACTGTCTGTGTCGTCAGAATAATATGATGTGAGAAATGCACCAAAGCGACTGAGAAAAACTGTAAAACAGTTGTCTATCTGCTGCATTAAAACATGAACACCTGTGGCTTATATTCAAGTGCGGCCTACATGTGGACCAAATGTACTTTATCTTCAAATATTTGATGTTTATTTACTGGTGTGCCTTGTAGTCCAGAAAGTAGGGTACTCTTTTGTCCAAAACTTGCATCCGTAAATCTGTTTACTATACTCTACAGTACTTCTTTTGTTATATAGATATTTATTCTGTTTTTCGTCTGTTGATCTGGACCAGAGTCTGTGATAAAGTTATCTATCCATCTATCCATCCATCTATCTATCTATCTATCTATCTATCTATCTATCTATCTATCTATCTATCTATCTATCTATCTATCTATCTATCTATCTATCTATCTATCTATCTATCTATCTATCTATCTATCTATCTATCTATCTATCTATCTATCTATCTATCTATCTATATCTATCTAATCCCTCATCTTCCCCATCTCACCATGCGTCACTGATCTACTGTATCTATCATATGTACATTTGATTACAAAAATTAGCTTCACGAATCCCATTGTCTTCCTACAGATCAACTTTAACCTGATCCTGATGATCGTGCTGGAGGTGCTGATGGCCTGCACCGTGATCCTGTCGGCTCGCTCCGCTGAGGACTGCTGCTGTCACAGAAAGGTGTGGACGACTGTGACCGATGCCTTTGCTTCACCAGACACAGTCCCTCAAGCTTATTAATTTTTGATCACCTTCCAGTCTGGGGCCAGTGATAGATACATGGAGAAACCTGCAAAATTTCCTCGAAGACTTCTCAAGGCATATTCTGTAGGTGCATTATCTGCTTATAAGATTATGTATGTACTGTATGTATGAACTAACGAATTCATTTCACTGGCTTTCTGATGTTTGCAGTTTTCTCACAGCTCATTACTGGCTCTGTTTTATTCATTCTGCTGTTTTAATTTTTACTTTTAATTATGTATGTATAACTGGTATTTAATTGTTTTCTATTTACTATGGATTGTGTTTATTGTATCTAAATGCTTTTTTATTATCTTACTCCTTACACATAAAGCTGGCAGACTTGCATATTTAAACGTTTTACTTTTGTCTCTTTGCAGCAACAAAACAAAACTTTGGAAACTTGTTTTATAAAATGTGCTATATAAATAAAGTGGATTGGACTGGATTAACGCAGTCAATCTGACTCCTTTTTGGAGGTGCAATTACTCTCATTTACATTCTTGGTCTAAAAAAATTGACTTTTTATTTATCTTTATGCAATTTACTTCTATGTCATTATTTTTGTTCAAATTATCTTTTAATTTTCAAATGTGAGTTCTTGAACTAATTTTCCACCAGAGAATATCAAGTGCTAGTTACCATAGCAACGCACCAACACCAATAACTAGCCTAGTTGTCGCAGTATTTCAGCTTCAGTCAGATTGACCGGTTTTAGCACTTATCAAAAGTAAGTAAAGGTTAAACGTATAAATGACTTTCTTTTAATTAATCTGGTGAAAAACTACACCTTACAGTATTTGGGGGACTGTGTGAATTGTGAATAAACTAAACTAGAATAAACTAAGAATAACAGTTTCTGAATTCTGGGAGTCTTAGTGTTAACAAAATGCTTTCTCTTTGCAACAGGTGATTGAAGTGATCGTGGGAATCTCGGCTGTTTTTGGAGGAATTATTGCCCTGAACATGGACGCCTTGTTGCCGGGGCCCTATCTGTCCGTCACATTCTTCTGGATCCTCGTTGCTGTGAGTGAAGCCAAGACTTTGTCACTGGCCAAAGACTTGTTTTTGAGTGACCAGTTGCTTTGACACATATTTGACAGTGTTTCCCCAGTGCCATTGCCAGCCATGTTGTCTCTGAATACCCCAACAAATGTCTGGTAAGTACCTCCCCATGTGTTTGACAGGTTTTTTCCCCGTAGTGACTTTGTTCGAAGGAAGAGAAATTGGGACACATATATAAATATACAGTATACAGGAAACACTTCTTGTGGATTTATGTTTATCAAACCAGTAGCACTCCCGGTTACAAATATGAAGTATGAAGTTCAACAGTTATGGCAAAAGAATTACTTTTCGATTCAACGCATTAACTGATTTCATTGCCGATTTGGGCCATTCAATTTTTCGTTCCTAAAATAGCACGGATAATTCTTTTCAACAAACATTTATATGTCTGGGTTCTACAGGGTTCATTGCCCATTTGAGGCAAAAATATAAAAAAAAACGCTTCTATTTTGTCATTCTGTCACCAATGTACATATCTCTACCCAATATACAGAGACACTGCACATTTCTGACTGTTCGAACATTCCTAGAATCAAATCTTTTCTACTTTTTTCCATTTTAAACGCCTAACTATCACTAATAACAATGCATTATTAAATGGCGCTTCTTTGGACACTCAAAGATGCTTCCCATTAGATTTCTCTCTCAATGTGGGCCTCCCCGAGGTTTTTGAGTCGTTCCTTGTCAATACTGGAGGGCCTCAGGATGATACAGGACATTTAGGGAAATATATGGACATTTATTAACCTTACATAACACACACGCACACACTCACACCAGACTCATTCAAGACAATATACTGTATGTGATGTGTCTTGCCCTATAAAGAAACAATAACAGTTTAACAACCTTCGCTGTCTCACTGCGGCACACAGCGTTCCAAGTTGTCTCCCATCACAATACTAACCAGACCCAGCCCTGCTTAGCTTCTACATCTATCTAACACAACCAGGCTACGAAAGGCAAATATGGCCACAGCTAATGATCAATGTTGCTTTGGTCCTTGTCCTTGTGATCGTAGTTGCTAGGTAACTCACCTCTATGTCCAAATAAGGAAAAAAGGAAACTATAGATTTACATGTAATCAATATAATGCACTAATGATACGAATTGACGAACCTGACATTTGCACCTAATGTAATTGACCATATATTGCTTTTTATGTGAACTTTAGGTGGAGGTGTTGATCGCCATCAGCAGTGTCACGTCCCCGCTGCTCTTCTCCGCCTCCGGCTTCCTGTCGTGCAGCGTGATCAGCTTTATTGAAATATTCTTGTACGACGTGCCCACAGCCAAGGTGAAGTTAATGATCCAACCTTAAGACTTGACCTTTTGCTGAGATCATGAGTTTTTTTGTTTTTTTCCAAAGAACACGCCGTCCTCTCCTAGATGTACATGCTCATTCTAGCTCTGCCTGTATTTATGATTTTCAGCAGTCGTACGACATCCTGCTGCTCATTCTGATGGTGCTGCTGCTGGTGCAGGCGGTTTTGACTTCAGCCACGGTGGTCCACTGCGCCTCCTACAAGAGTCAGCTACGCAGGAGGCCAGCGGAGTATGAGGAGGGACACGATATGCAATTCTGTGAGGTATACTGACTTCATTCAAGATTCAACAATTTATTTGCCATTTGCAGTAAAACCACATTGGAAAAACTTTGCAAGACTACCCCAGTGTGCACCAAAAAACGCACACCAGAGCTCTTGCCATGGCGCCATTTTCATGCAAACTAACTTATCAACTCTAGTCTTGCATGCAAACTAACTTATCAACTAGTGGCCAGTGGATGTGAACCGGAGCATGGGCAAAAGTTACAATCTTCAGCATTATTTTAATAAAATTTTAAATGTTTCTATAATAATGCATTGGATTAATATAGCGCTTTTTTGGACACTCAAAGACGCTTCACATGTCAATTCAGTTCATTCCGATGTATTCTTGTATAGTAAGTAAGTAAGCAACCTGTAATTATATGGCGCATTTTTTCAGACCAAGGTCACCCAAAGCGCTTTACAATGTTCAGCCCTAAATCACAACAGTAGATACCTCGAGGACTTTACAAAACCATTGAATTCGCCAACACAGATCAGAGAATCAAGAATTTCAAACACAAGAAACGCAACGGGTAAAAAAAACACATAGAATCATTGGTCCATACAGGGCAGATGACTGAATGTCAAGTGTCCTGGATCATCACCACTGTCCTTAGACCCTCCTGCATCGGCAAGGAACAAAAATCTAATAAGGAAAAATGTACTCTATATGTCATTATTCATTCACTCCATACACGGTGGTGATAAACTACTACAGTAGCCACAGCTGCCCTGGGGCACACTGACAGAAGTGAGGCAACCAGTCTGCGCCATCGTCCCCTCTGACCACCACAGAGCATACACACACACACACACACACACACGCAGAATCATTCTAGAAAACAATTGATTCTTGAACTATTTATCGTAATATGGGGATTTACTTGTGAAGGGGTAATTATTTGCCAATGGATCACAAAAGACACATCGGTGACCACCTCAGGCCTTTAAAGACTTGGACGATCCAGATCAACACCACACCAGGACATTTGGGAGAGATGGTCCTGGGCTCGACTCCACCTCCAGTCCTTTCCGTGAGGAGTTTGCATATGAATATAATAAGTGCGTGAATGGATGGCATCGTTCGGGGGTTTTGATTTGCGTTCGCCGTCTCGCTTCTGTCACCGTGAGTGAAGAGATTGGAAAAATTTCTGAACTCCAAAAATACTTTAAAGCGAGTTTTGGTGACGTTGGTCTGTGAAGTATTCTAAATAAAAGAAGATTACTTACATGAAAATTCTCCAGAAATTTCAAATTATGAATCTATTTTAGTCCCATACCTTATACCTGTTATACATGTCACTTATATTGTGATTACAACTTTTCTCCCCAGTCTCCAAGTCCTGCCTTTTGTCTTTCTCCCCTTGGCTAATTATCTTGTTTGGCTCCATCCATCAGCAGCCAGCCTCCAACGGCCCACTGCAGGATTTCGACAAAGACAGAGCCTGGAAGGCGGTTGTGGTCCAAATGGCACACTGAGCACCAAAAGGAAGAACACATTCCTCTCATCACTACCATCACCGGAGGAGCAGAGCACAGCACCTCCTGCACCAAAACTCTATCTCCTGTTTCTCACCTGTTTTATGCAACTATATTTTTCTCATTTTACTCATTCAGAAAACATTCATGTGTTTTCTCCATCTTCCTTGCGGCAGAACTGTTCCACATTCAAAAGATCGATTTTTGTCTAAAGTGATTTATGGCAACGGTCCTAATTTCTCATCATTCTGAAAACCAGGGATGACCTATTTTTTGTTCATGGCTGAGGCGGCACTTGTAATCTCTTTCTGAACCCCATGGGAAGGTCATTTAGATTTTTGTACAAATTTTTAGATATTAATTGTATAGTATTTTCCTATAATCAGTATTTATAGACCTAATTTGAATGGTTCTGTATAGGTGTCTACTTTAACTTAATAAACATAGCTTGTAAATACATGACTGCTGTTTTTTTGTGCTGGACTGGTTTGGTCTGGTTGTATCCAGTGGGGTAATTTGATTATTGATTATTACTTTATACAGCAGCAAAAGCGCCCTCTGCCTCTCGCTCGTTCATGTGGCTCTTTGGGCTATGACTGCAGTTCACAAACCATCAATCAACCCAATATTTATTTGTATAGCACAATTCAAGCAATTCAAAGTGCTTCACAAGAGCAATTTAAAAACACGGACAAAAAGGCAAATGAGATATACAATCATTTCATATTCCAACGGAGTAGCATAAAAGTACTGTGCTTAAAAACTCAAAAAACTTGGGTTTAAAAAGAGACATAAAAGCGATAAATAATACAAGATAGACTCAGTTGTATGCACAGCTAAACAAATATGTGTTCAGACTACTTTTGAACATGGTCAGGGTTGAGGCTCGTCTCACAACATCAGGAAGACCATCAGCCTTCAGCTGGTTCCACACGGCGCTGGGCCATGCTCTGGTCCCACAGATGCGGATCTTCGGCTGCATGAGCTCAGCGTCTGCAGAGGGAGGCGGGAGCGGGAACAGGCGGAACAAACCGGTCCCGGGGAGCTCCCAACATGCTGCCCGCACTGCAGATTAACCCTTCCGGCCCCGGGGATGCTGCTGCTGGAGACACGGTGAGTGCATTTGATGCCTTTTTGTCCGCGCATGCACGTGTGTTAGAGGCGCAGACAGACGGTAGAAGGGCTGGATGTGAGTGCAGTGATGAGCTGAGAGTCTGCAGAGGCGGATGGAGGAGGTTCACGCCACACACGCGCGCCTCGGTCCTCTTCCTCAGTCCTCATCCTCACGGAGCGTTCTGTGGGCTTCTGTGGAGCTGTCCAGGTGCTGTGGTCCTGAAACACTGGGACCTTCACTGGGACCTGCAGTACAACGCTGTGGTTCCACTCGAATGCAGCGTCATGAGCTCATAGATGACAACCTCTTCGTTCACAGCTGAATTAGAATAGATGTTTCTCCAATAGTCTGCCGTGCGCTTGTTCTCACGTGAGAGAATTCCACACGAAGTTTCCCTTATCACAAAATAGCGTTATGATATCAGAACAATGTATCCACATGTGCCTGAGACAAGAGCAGTAAGGTCCATGCAGCCATTCTCTAATTAATGATGCATGAATGATGCTGTAGTTTTGGAGGGGTCTTTGCCTTCTTGATAACATCACAGAGAAGTCAGTTTTTTGAGGGTTAAATTATTCAAAGTTTGTTTTCTTAAATTTAAAATGTGCCATTTACAATTAATAATTAAGATGACAAGAGCTCATAATGTTTCAAAATGGAAAAAGATTAAATAACATTGCGGATAGTCAGCTGTAAACCTGCATCACCAAAGTATGTCAACCCTTTATTGTGAAGCAGCATGGAAACAGAAACCTGCGTCCAAATGTCATAAAAACATAATTAGATTGCACAGTTGTATAGTCTGGGATTTGTTTTAGAAAAAAAGAGGCAAAACAATTGTAATTGGTTTGGTAATTCCAGTTAAAAGTGAAAAGTTTAAAGTGCTACAGATACAGTCGTGTTGTATTTTGACCTTTGATGCTTGACTGATTCTACATAGCATCACAGTTTATCTTTTGCAGTGGAAATCTGAGTTAATTTATTATGCAAGCTCCGTGCTCATCCATAAAACCCACTGACAGCTTCATGTGAGCATTGAATACCTAATTAATCTTTATGGAAGATTATCAGAGATACAGGTTTAAAACCAGCAGTTAATGCAATTAATCATTCTTAACGAGCCTTTGTATTCAATGAAGGCTGCTGTTACAGATAACAACTTTCCGTAATGGTGAGACGTGTGTGTTTCTTCTGCAAATGTCTGAACAGTTTTCAAAATAATACTAAGGTTATTTGTTATCAATGTGTGAAAGCAGGGGCCATTCCCATCCATGCTCAACCAATTTATCTTACAGTAGCTTAAGGCTGCACACTCGCCTGAATGTGCATGATGATAGTTGACACCTCCATTATTTTTGTGTTTCAGAAAAGGACAGCCCAGAGCTATGCTTAAATGAGACCTGTGTCACTTCTTATCAGCACAAAATCACTTCCCAGAGGACTACAAGGACACCAACCAAACTACCCCTATTTTTCAACCTGTCTTGACCACAAGCAGCGCTAAACAGCCGTGTGAATAAAACCTGTTCATGCCTCTTTGAGCTCAGAGTTTTCACCTTCAGCTGGGCGAACCTCAAAGGGCTGAAGTCCGAATGCAGAACCTCCTTGATCAGAACTTAGACATGGCCACAGCTCTACTTGCTGGAGAGAAGCTGAAGGAGCTGATCCTGCCTGGCTCCTCTCAAGATGAGAAGAACAGTGCATTGGCAGGACTCATGGTGCAGCTGAAACTGGAGCTGCCCTTCGACCGTGTGGTGACCATCGGCACGGTCATCATCCCCATCCTGCTGGTCACCCTGGTCTTCACAAGGAACTTTGCAGGTGAGGAGGTCCACCATGTATAGACATATTTGAAAATGAAAACCGTCAAGAGGACCCAACTTTCAACATGTATTCAAATCCAGCTAGTTCCTGTAACAAGTATGTTTTGTCTCTCAGCCCAAAGCGTCAAACAGTGACTCAAAGGGCTCTTTCCTACAAGTTTGCAAAAGATAAAAGTTTTTCTAATAGGATGATGACAACATGTGGTCAGATTTCAGTATATAGTTTGGTGTATTGTTACAAGACTCTTTATGTTGGGATAAAACAAAGTGTATTATTCGAGGTACCCAGGCTCAGAAATGGGCAGCTCGAAGGACCTTCAGCTAGATTCGATTCCAGAGAGGGCTTTTCTGAGTAGTTTGCACGTTCTCCCTGTGTCTGCTTGGTTTCTCCTACCACTAAAAACATGCATCAAAGCTCCCCTCTATCTGGGGCCAAGACTTCCCTAAAAAATAGATAATGAATTTCCTGGTAAAATAAAGGTTAAAAAAGAAAACAATAAGAAAAAGAATCATGTCTTATGAAAGAATTGGTTTGAGCGAAGGGAGAGTGATAGATTGGGGAATACACTGTTGAGTCAGACTCTGTGTAGCTGCTGCAGAATCCAACTGTATTGTGTAGGTTTTCTAGCTGTAATGAATGCAGAGGTAATGTAAAAAACACAATTCTTTCTCTGTGTTTAGAGGAGTCCATCTATTGTTATACACCACACAATTTCACCAGAGACCAAGCACTGTACGCAAGAGGCTACTGCTGGACGGAGCTGCGAGATGCCGTGCCTGGAGTGGAGCCTCCCCTGTGGCCATCACTGTTCGAGCACAAGTTCCTGCCCTACGCACTTCTAGCGTTTGCAGGGATTATGTATATCCCTGTCCTGGGCTGGGAGTTTCTTGCCTCCACACGACTCACATCAGAGCTCAATTTCCTGCTTCAGGAGATTGATAACTGCTATCACCGAGCCGCTGAGGGCAGAGCGCCAAAGATCGAGAAGCAGATTCAATCCAAAGGACCTGGAATCACAGAGAAAGAGAGAAGGGAGATCATTGAGAATGCAGAGAAAGAGAAGAGTCCTGAGCAGAACCTGTTTGAAAAGTATTTGGAAAGACGAGGTCAAAGTAATTTTCTGGCAAAGCTTTATTTTGCACGGCATCTGGCCATTATCTGTCTCAGTTCTATCCCCATCTCCTACCTGAGCGCCTACTATTCCCGACAAAGACAAAATGAGTTCACGTGTGCTCTCGGCGAGCCACCGGACATAAGCAGCTATCTTGAGCTTAAGATGAAGGTGAATTGTAAGCTGCCTGCTGTGCAGTTGCAGCGCATCATGGCAGCTGTAGACATAGCTTTGCTCTGCTCTGTCAACTTCATCATTCTTTTAAACCTGTTGAATCTTTTTGTGGTTCGCAAATCTAACTTTGTGTTTGACAAACTGCATAAAGTAGGTATCAAGACTCGTAAGAGCTGGCAGAAATCTCAGTTTTGTGATATCAATATTTTGGCAATGTTTTGTAACGAAAACCGGGACCACATCAAGTCGCTGAACAGACTGGACTTCATTACAAACGAGAGCGACCTGATGTATGACAATGTGGTCAGGCAGTTGTTAGCTGCACTTGCTCAGTCCAATCATGACTCCACTCCAACTGTGAGGGAATCTGGAATACAAACTCTTGATCCCAATTTGGACCCCCATGACCTTGGAGTGGGAGAGCTCGGAGGAGAACCGCTAGTCATCAAAAGGCCTCGAAAGAAAATGAAGTGGATTTCATCCTCAAATCCACTCCCTCAGCCATTCAAGGTAACATTTCTCATGCAACAAGTGGCAAATGCCAAATGGTATTTGTAAAATATTTGTAAATCTCATCAAGATAGTCTTTTCTGGTGACATCTTTTATAGGAACCTGTTGCTCTGGCACGTATGGAGAGTTCAAAGGCTGAGAAACCCAAACCGCAGAAACGAAAAACTGTTGCTGACACTCTCATTGCACCACTCTTAGATACCAAGAGCACACATACCCCCACAGCAAAAGGTTGGGGCATATGCATTAAATGGAAGGCGGTCATGACCCAGAGTTTCAAGTAATAATGTGAAATAACTTGTTTTTCAGAGCTCAGTGGAATGGAGAAAAAGCATGCTCGGAACTTCTCTCTTGATGTCCATCCTTACATGCTCACGATTCGTAAGCCAAAAGCTGAGACCACTGCAACAGTAGCTGTTCCTTCACAGCACAGTATTGATGAAGTATTTCTCGAAGGCACACACACGATTGTGCATGTTTCCGGTGGTATAACGGGTATGCTAGTGGATTTACAATAACAAATATATCACACCGTTTTACTGTACTGACTATAATCTCATGTTTACATTGCTCTTTCAGAGACAAAGATTTGCTCTCCAGAATCTACCATTACTGCCTTTTCTAAAATGATCCTCCCCACCAACACTTATGTAAACGGTCTGAGTCCAAACCCGCCATCGAGCGAGGATGCACTGAGCCCGAAGTCTTCCCCTTCTCAACGAGATCCTCTTCCTGAAGCGGCAAGTATTGAGTGTCTGTCTCCACCTCTGACTATCGCTCCCGCACACCAGCTCTTGGGAATTCATCACAATCTGTACGAGGAAGAAGAGGATGAAGAAAGCCGCAGGAGGAATCTTGCAGAAAGATCAGGGGAACTTATTGCAGCAGGAGAATTTTAAAACATTTACTTTGTACCTTTACACACCTCCTAGCACACTTGATGACTTTGGTCACCTCTACCTTTTGATTGACACTTTTTGTGCAAATGAGCGAATGGGAAGTTGTGATTGATGAAAGTAATACTGTTGTGTAAGAGATGTTTTGCCTCACTAGAACATAATGATCCATAGGCATTAATAGCATAGAATTGTGTGGTAAGGAGATTCTGTCACATGTCTCAGGAAGACAGTACCGCTTTTCACTTCTATAATACCAGCAGTCCTCATGAAACAGGGTGCTGCCATGCTTGAGCAGGCACTCACATCTCACTATGTTCTTGTCTCTTAGTCGATAGTCTAGTAGATAGAGCTGTATGCAATAGACTACACTTGAAACCTGCACAAGCATTATGCAAAAGATCACAATATATTTGTGGCAATAATGTATGCGCTTCAACAGCATCTTATTTCACACACAAAATGTTGTAATGTATAGAATGTGATGTAGGCCAATGCGCTCTTCGGCCTAAATCACTATGATGTGATATCATTATATATTTCTATTTTTCATATGAACTCACTTAGAATAAGCCTTAGTTGTCTTTTGGATTGCATTCAAAAAGAGAAAGAAAAAAAGCTGCTTAGCCTATGACAGTTAGTCAGGCAATGGCTTTTTGTATAAGGAAATTTAATTCACACGTTATTTACTTGTGACAGCTGCAATGAAATATGCATTATGAAAAGATTTAGAGTTAAAATAGATGCAATGACCCCTAAGCGAATCAATCAGGATCATATGATAAATTCTTGAGTCCTTTGGGGAGCTACTGGTAGTTCCCGAGCCGCAGGTTGGAGACCCCTGTCCTCCAGTGTCAAATACCTGCCTGTCAGTCAAGGTTACAAGAAACATTCTTTGGTGAACATATAGTTTCTGAAGCACACAAAACGCTCTTCAGTGCACTTAAGACACTAACCCACCAGAATGTGTAGTTACAGATTGTTTTCTCTGTATGTTTAATCTCTTTTAGGGTGTTAGACAAATGCTACAATGACAACAACAAAAAAGAAACGGAAACGGAAATTATATGCACACAATTGTATGAGGTATTGTTGCCGTTTTATTCACAAATAAAGTAAACTAGAAACTGCCTCTGTTAAATGACTACATTACCCAGAGTGCACTGCGGCGGCGTGACTGCTGCTGCTGTAGTTGTGGTGGACTCGCGCTGTCACAGAAGCTGTCTATGGTTCCAGTAAGTACCCCCGTCTTTCAAGGCCTCTGTCTGGGATTTCTGTACGATTTATTCAGAACAATAATAGCCATTTATCTGTGTCGTTTTGTAGTTCTCAATTAAGCTGTTATTGTTTTAAAGCACAGTCGCGGTCTGTAGTTAGCAGTGAGAATTGTTTGCTAGCTAAACCAAAAGAAGCATCGTGGTCGGTAAATCTAACCCAGAATGAAATCACTTACTTCACTTTGGTCAACGTTAAAAAAAAAAAACACTGTTGATTTAGTTTTGAATGTTCTAAAATCAAACCTTTGTTTTTACTGACTGTCAATGTGTCGCTGTGTGTTAAGCAACGTCAGCATAACTCACTGTAAACATATGGTTTCTGTTTTTATTTCCAGGTTTAGATCATGGACTCTGGCAATAATTCCGAGGTATGTGAACTATGTAATTCTTCTTTAAAAGCCCATTCCAGTTGTATTTTTTAAGCATGAGGGTGTTTGAATTGCACAGACAGTATTGACTCCTCTCTTATACTGTAGGAGGCAGCTGCCCCCTCAGAGGATGCTTCAGAAGAGGAACTGCCCTGTCTTCCCCCTGGACTCTGTAAGGCATCATACTTGTTTAAAAGTTGTGAGGAATATTTTTAGAGATCAACCTGTTTTGCCCACTACATACTTTTGGTTGTTATGATCTCATTATGCAATGTTGTGTGTAGCAATCAAGATGATCCTGAAGTAATCTTTTTGGTCTTAAAACTTACCAATGTCACAATTCTCAGCGCATTTTCTGTCCAGGACTTTTCACAACAACAACAACATTTACCCTTATAAAATTCCTCTATTTGTCTTTGAGAGTAGTGAAAGAACATTGGTCTGGTAGTATTATACATTTATAGATCTGATGATGATCTAGTATGAGTTGAGAGAAGATAAACTTTATTGATCTCACAATGGAGAATTGTACATGTATGTATTCATTCTAGTCGACTTACATTTTTTATATTTTCTAGCTGATGGAGAAGCCATGGAACTCCTTTGGAAGTTGCGATCACGTCGTCGGCAGTCATCACCAGATCTCCCAGAGACCGTCTCCTGCCTCACTGCCCCTGATGGGAGCACTTTGTACTTGGTGGGAACGGCCCACTTCAGCGAGAGTAGTAAAAAGGATGTGGCCACAGTAAGTGTTTATTGTTATGCAATATTCATTTCAACACTGACACAGACTTGGCACACACACTTCCAGCAGTGGAAAAAAAAAAACATGAATACAAAGTTACAAACATACATACAGAAATACATGGAAGTTGATTGATGCATGATTGTGCTTATTGTTTATGGGTCAAATGAGTGACATGACCAATTGGGGGTGAGTAAGGGGACTTCCATCTAGTTACGAGAAGCCATCTAAGTGAACCGTTTCTCGTAGCCTTTGTGGACCAAGCTGAGAAAAGTGATTGGGAAGTAGGACCAGAGAATTTTGGATTTGTCTTGCATTTGTATTTGTACCAAAGAAAGTTTGGTACAATGTGGCTTTACAGTTTACAGTTCTACACTAAAGTTTGCATCAGTTGTGCAATTATTTGTTGGGTGGTTGGCAACCTTTGTTACACAAGACAAAACTCAATGTAGACACTAGGGATGTCTTGATCATGTTATTTTTGCGTTCGTTTGAATATTCTGATCCAGTATGAAAAAGAGTAAATAAGCAAAAAATCCTGAAGCACTTACTGCAGCAAAGCTTTTTTTTCTGTGTACACAAGAGGTCTCACTCTGCACCAACACATAATAATAGATCGGATTTAAGAAAATGACAATACAAATATACATGTACTGTATGTCTTAAGTCCTGATCGGGAGGTGACGGCTGATTCCAGTACCATGTGATCAGAGCGGAAATCCCCTAGTAGACACGTCAGCTGATCAATTCACAAAAACCATATTCCACGCTCTACTTCAAAGAATGAAACCAATTTAAAACAAAACACTATGTACTTGTCTTACTATTAATACTTCACCCTCTCTTTCTATACATCAGACCATCAGAGCGGTTCAGCCAGACGTAGTGGTGGTGGAGCTGTGTCAGTACAGAGTGTCGATGCTGAAGATGGATGAAAACACACTGCTGAGAGAAGCCAAAGACATCAACCTGGAGAAGGTCCAACAGGCCATTAAGCAGGTATTTCAGATCCCACCTCTCTGCTGCAGCATACAAATAGTTAATTTGAGAAAAAAAAAAAAAAGTGCCATCAGAAAAATGTTTGACAGGCTCTCAATTTGCAGTTTACCAAGTTGCTTTTGAAGAGCCAGATTTATTATAGTGGCATTCAAATTGAAGTTTCACCACTACTTGAGCAAATTCATTCAAAGTCACTGCTGATAGCAAACCATGTTGGAGATTGTAACTAGAGGAAGACAACTTTTTGACATTTTTCAAAACTGAGATATCTGTTTTGCAAAGGGAAAAGGAAAAAGAAAACAATCTAGCATAATTTCATCTTTATTTGTAGCAATTCCCTTGAGTTTGTTGGATTGGCAGTCCTTGGTGTGCACTTGCAGAATCTGTAACATAAATATTATATTAAATAATGCTGTAATAAAATATATACTATTATAATTTCATGAATAATATTGTATTGGTCTTACTGAACGAGGGGAGAAAAAAATGGTCACAATGCATAGATACATGTGTGTAATGTAAAATGGGCCATGGGGTGGTGCTGTCCATGCCTTTGCAGTAGTAACACCAATTATGAATCTATTGCATAATGTTGTGTGTCTTTTATGTTTTTATTTTGCATTTAAGACATTCACTCTTTTCACAGAATGGACTGATGTCAGGTCTGATGCAGATACTTCTACTCAAAGTTTCAGCACACATCACAGAACAGTTGGGCATGGCTCCTGGAGGAGAGTTCCGGGAGGCCTTTAAAGAGGTGCAGAAGAAAAAGACTGGAGATATTAATGTTTTGTTTTTTTATATTCTTATTTATTAAATTGTATCTATCCCACGCAGGCTGGGCGAATTCCTTTCTGCAAATTTCACCTCGGGGACAGACCTATACCTGTGACATTCAAAAGAGCCATTGCTGCACTAAGTTTCTGGCAGAAGGCGAGACTAGCTTGGGGTCTATGTTTTCTTTCAGACCCTATAAGGTAAAGTTGCATATGCATTTTGTGAAATTCAGATTAGATCACTCATTTCCAAACCCTTGCTACTATATTTCAGTAAAGAAGATGTTGAAAAATGCAAACAGAAAGATCTGCTGGAGCAGACCATGTCAGAAATGATTGGCGAGTTCCCTGCTCTTCACCAAACCATTGTGGCCGAGAGAGACATCTACCTCACTCACACACTCAGACAAGCTACGCGTTGTGTGGAGGCGCCCCCTAATGGCCAAAGTATGTATGCATTTTTATATAGACTGAAATATTTCTCTCCAATGATGATAATAATGCATTTTTGTTTTGATTTTTTTATGTTTTTGCAGAAGTTCCTGGTGTTGTTGTGGGAGTCGTGGGAATGGGCCATGTCCCAGGAATAGAAAAGAATTGGGAGAATGACCTTGACATTAGTGAAATCATGAGGCACGTATAAAGGATTTGACATATATTTCTGGCGGCTGTTACTAACTTTATCCATCATGCATGTCTTCCTCAGTGTGGCGCCGCCCTCTCGGTTCGGCTGGGTGTTGCAGACTGGTTTTAAAGGCGTCATAATGGGTCTTGTGGGATATGCTTGCTATCGAGCTGGAGGGACTTTGGGAAGAAAACTGATGTCATTGCCTTCTGTCAAAGCAATAGCGGAAAACCTGAGACTACCCCATGACTGATCCCAAAAGATCTTCTTCGTGCCATCAATGACTAACGAGAAACAATTGAATTTTCACCAATGGCCTTACAGGACTTGTGGCTGGAGGATTTGACTGTTGCAAAAGATTTCAAGAGGTATCTCCAACCTCTGATGCTCTTGTAAACAGAGCAGTACTTCGAGGGTTTTGCCAAATAATGTTATATGTATTTTTACTAACAAATTTAACAGTATATCTAATACTTGTGAGCCAAGGCCTGTCTTCTGAATTGGTGCCCGTGAAACTTTGGTGCTTTTTTAAGTCACTTTATAGGTAACATAATTTTTTATTCGATAAAATAGAAAATTATCTACTTAAGAATATTTTAATAAAACAATAATATAGACCGGAGCATTGGGCCAATGAAAGGGGACTGTGAGGCTGACCCAGGACTCAGAGGGGCTCTGTTCCTTTGCTGACCTGGAATGTCTTCATCTCAGAAGAGTGAGCAGGTGGAAAGGGAAGTGTGAGCCTCTCCACTCCTGCTTATGTTACGCGGCCTCGATGTTAGCAGAAGACAATAGACGGCTGGATAAAACAAGAAAGCTGTCCCACTTGTTGGTTACAAGTCATATCAACAACAAGTGCCTCACGTAGCTGTAAGTGCTGAACAAGAAAAGTCATTATACTGTACTATGCCAGTTTTCACTACAAAGGTTGCTTTATAATATTTGTTTGGACCGTAGAAATTCTGTGGTTTTAAACTTGATCGTGGTCAGATCAAGAGTTAATGCAGGATCTACAGTTAATGTGCCTCAGGTAAAAACAATTTGCTCTGCACCAATTAATTTAATTACCCTGGTTTCTTGCTATGTATGTTAGTACGACGACGAAACCTTTTGATTATGCTCTTGTCTAAAAGCTTTCTGTATTTTATTATGAGATAATGTATAATCATTTGATAATTATGCAATAAACTCCTGATATGTTTATGAAAGTGTCTTTTATTGGCATCTGCTATTGTGTCCTTAGGCAAGACTGGGTTGGTTGTTGGGGGTCATAACTATTTTTCAGTCCTATTAATATATCTCTCATCTCATCTAGTAAGAAATTCATTCATTTCACGTTGCTCATTTTACAACATAAAATAAAGTAAATGATGTATAAATTTAATTTACTAAATACCAGCAATGAGACTAACCTTGACTACCAGTGTTAAATGTGTTTAAATCTTAAATTAAAAGAATTATGAAAAACAGTCCTTTGTTTCTGGTACCTCACATTTGGAAGTGACACCTCCTTGGGGCAGTAAACATCCGGTTTAAAGTCACGGTGACTTGCAGTTCCTTCCGTGATATAACGTCGTTTTCAACTGATGGCGGCTGTTCTATGGCTCGTTTAGGCCGCGGACTGGGCTCTCCGCGCTGTTTCCTGCCCGTTGTGACCGTGTTCAGGCACCTTTGTGAGGGCACGATGCAGGACATGGGGGTCGCCCTGAGTCGGTCCCCTTTGGAGCGGCTCCCCTTCGACAACCAGGCTCTGAAGCGGCTTCCCCTGGACCCGTGTGAGGACGAGGGTGTGCGGCAGGTGAAGGGAGCGTGTTTCTCTCGGGTGAAGCCTCAGCCGCTGACCAGTCCCCGCTTCGTGGCTGTGTCCGACCAGGCGCTGTCGCTCCTGGGGCTCAGCGCGGAGGAGGTGCGTGACGACCCCCGCGGAGCCCAGTACCTGAGCGGGTCAGTGGCGATGCCCGGGTCGGAGCCTGCTGCCCACTGCTACTGCGGACACCAGTTTGGGCAGTTTGCAGGACAGCTGGGGGACGGGGCAGCGTGTTATCTGGGAGAAGTGAAAGTGCCCCATGGACAAAACCCTGAACTTTTGATTGAAAACCCGAGTGGGAGATGGGAGATCCAGGTGAAGGGCTCTGGACTCACCCCTTTCTCCAGGTCAGTATCTATCAACAGGCTGCCAAGCTTTTCGGCTGCTTTAACCCTGTAATTATTTACTCAACCATTTGGTGGATCACGTTTTGAGTCACTATATCTACTTGAAGCTTGGAACTGAAATTTACCTGATGGGGCATTTCTACTACTTGATTTTAGGCACTTTAACCATCAAACTTCATCTCAACCATTTGGTAAAGCCCTATAAATGAAAAAAATAGGGGTTAAAAATAATTACAAACCATAAAAACAAATAAGTTCTCCTACATCTTAGAAAATCCAAAAAGTGAAAAATGTCATTGCTTTCTTCAAGGAGTAAATATTTTAGGGTGAATCATTTACTGAGAGACGTTTGTTGGTGATTTAACTCATATCTATGGATGTAATTAACGGTTGTTTTGATAATGAGTTTGCTGATTATCCATTCAATTAATCAATCATGAAAGGTCAGCAAATGCAAAAGGATTAATTACACATTTGACCAAAACAAAGCTCAGGTGATGCCCCGGGAGAACCTCTCCATGCTAGTGACTTCTTTATACAATGGGACTTTTGATGAAGTCCCATTTCCTTTTGCAGTCATTAATTTAAGAATAACCCAAGTCATTAAACATCTGTTTGTTTTTGTAAGGTTAAAAAAGCATGAAATTACTGAATTACTTAAACTATTTAAATATTCAATTAGTTACCCTCTACTTTCTGACACATTGATCACGTGGGTCAACTCTGAATGGACAGAGGATAAACTTGTTACAGCTCTACTCATAACTAATGCAATTCATGACTATTACTTCTTTGTCATTTGTCAGAGCCAGTTGGTGAGTCCAAAGAAAATAAAATTCCACAATTATTTCCAAAAAGACATTTTATATGAATCTAATGTTTCTGTGTGAATCTCTGATAGACAAGCTGATGGCCGTAAGGTGCTGCGCTCCAGTATAAGGGAATTCTTGTGCAGTGAGGCCATGTTCTTCCTGGGAGTTCCCACCACCAGAGCCGGGTCCGTGGTGACCTCCGACAGCATGGTCCAGCGGGATATTTACTACACTGGCCGCCCTCGCAATGAGAGGTGCTCTGTAGTTCTCCGCATTGCTCCCACCTTCATCAGGTAAATACATATACTGTTATGCATTTATTAATTCAAGTCCAAACCTGTAATAATATTAGTTTATTACAGGTTTGGCTCTTTCGAGATCTTCAAGCAGGCGGACGAGTTCACAGGACGTCAGGGTCCCAGCTACGGACACGATGAGCTCAAAGGACAGATGCTGGATTATGTCATTGAGATGTTTTATCCTGACATCCTACAAAACTCCAACCGTGTGGAGAGAAACGTGGCTTTCTTCAGAGAGGTTTGAAAATGTTCTGTATGCACGACAATTCAATGTATTTACCGCGTTGATTGCAGGAACAGACTAGACCATAGGAGGCCAGTTTATTTCAGGTCTTGACCTTTGGATTGTTATCTGGTGTCGTAAACATAATATAGTTTCAAAAAACCTCAATTGTAGCCTCTGCTGTTCCCTTCTGCAGGTGGTGGTCCGTACGGCTCGACTCGTGGCCCAGTGGCAGTGTGTCGGATTCTGTCATGGAGTTTTAAACACTGACAACATGAGTATTCTGGGGCTCACTCTCGACTATGGGCCGTATGGATTCATGGACAGGTGAAGCATTTTAAACTATTGATTGATTGGATTTATTAATAAGCTGATAAACAGGAATTATAGAATTTACAGCAATTACATATTATACAGTATACGTACAAACTTTCAAGGGTAGACTTTTTTTTCTCTCCTGTCAAAGCTCAAAAGGGAGTGGGAAGAAATCACTTATAAGCTCCCACCCCCTATACCTAAAATCAATTTATACGGTTGCACTATAAAAAACTACACAACGTAATCTACATTTCTCAAAACCAGTGCAATGTTATGAGTTGCAAAAGCTTTTCCAAACGGCAATGCTGCATAAATCTTAATCCTCCATTTGAACTCCAACAATACTGGAACATGCATCTCACGACATGATTCAAAATTACTGAGAAAATAATTATTGCATTTGTTTGATAATCACTGAATCTACTGGCATTGACTTGTAGTAACTATCAGATTGGAAGTAATGCAATCATATTTAAGACTGGGATTAGAGAAAACAATGGCTGCTTTGTTCCGCTTTAGGTTTGACCCAGAGTTTATCTGTAACGCCTCGGACAGCTCCGGTCGTTACTCGTATCAAGCCCAGCCGGCCGTCTGCAGGTGGAACTTGGCCAAACTGGCCGAGGCTCTGGCTCCCGAGCTGCCTCCCGAGAGAGCAGAGGAGATCATCGACGAATATATGGATCTGTATAACCGCTTCTACCTGGAAATCATGAGGAAAAAGATCGGTTTGCTCAAAAAAGAGGAGCCTGAGGACGAGATGCTGATCACGGAGCTGCTGCAGACCATGCACAACACCGGTTTGTTGGCAGTTGTGAAGCATTAAAGCTATCTATAAATGGCTGCCTGATTATGTACAGCTTTTAATATGCAGTGTTCATTATCAACTCTTTCAGGCGCTGACTTCACCAACACGTTTCGCACTTTGAGCCAAATCTCCTGTCCCAGCGAGGGGGAAAACGAGGAGGACGTTATCAGCCTGGCTGCACGGCTCCTCCTGGAACAGTGTGCTTCTTTAGAGGAGCTACAGACTGCCAACAAGCCAACCATGAACCCACGGTACAGTTGGCGATACAGTCAAGCTGAGGGCGTTTGCATGGGTTTTCTGAATGATAAGAAGTTTGGACTTTTCACATAGATTTATTTAATTTACTGTATTGTATTTTTTTTCTATTTTATTTATGTATTATTTTATTATTATTTTTCATTGTGTATTTTATTTTATTTATTTTGTTTATTTTATTTATTTTATTTATTTTATTTATTTTATTTAACTTGTGGATATGACAATACATCACATTTTACAACTACATTTAAAATAATTGCAGTCCTGTCAAACAAATGAAAAGGAGCAGAAAAAAAGAAAATAATCATGTCGCTTGCCCCTTTCTGGAAGAATTGAAGATTTGTTCAATAAATATTAGTTGTGATGTTATTGGCCTACAACAAAACGCCACAACACGTGAAATCTACACAATGGTAATTCTTTACTGACAAAGAAATGTTGAAATGGTATGTAAAAGATGAAGCCCTGGGATAGAAATGGAGGACTGCGAATATTGGTAACAAAAGAATACAAGAAAAATATGGACAATATGTATATGTTGCCAGGTTGGTGTAGAGAAAGTGACTTGGATTCGGGAGCTTGTGTAGTATATTGGCTACTTTGGCACCTAAATGGTTAACCCAATAATCACAACAATATTAGGCCTTGACATTATCCGTATCACAATCATGTTTATCTCATTTATTGCCTTGTAAATGAATTGACTCGTGTTGAACTAAAGGCTAACCTCATGTCCCCCTCCTCTGTAATCACTCTGGTCTGAGACCTCACTCTCCTTGTTGCATTGAAGTCTTTGTTTTTATGCCTTACAGGGAGCTGACCATGCTGCTGTCGCTGGCCCAGAGCAATCCAGCGCTGTTCCAGATGATTTCGGACAGAGCGACCATAGCCAGGCAGTTGGATAAGCTCAGCAAACTTAAAGACCTAATGGAGACCAGCGAAGAGGCGCTAAAAGCTAAGCAGACTCAGGACTGGACAGTCTGGATCACACGCTACAGGTGAGGACGGGACAGAATAAGTTTGTGTTTAACTAGTTCAATTCAATGTATTCTTGTTTAGACCTAAGTCACAACAGTAGATATCTCGCAGGACGCAAAACCGGTGAATTTGGTGCAAAGATCAAAAACACATGGAGCCATTGGTTCATAAAGGGGCAGATACCAATGTCCATAAACGTTGATAAATATCCATAAATGTCCTTGAAAGTCGAGTGTCCTGGATTGGACCACTGTCCTTAGACCAGGCATGTCCAAACTCAGGGCCACGAGCCAATTGCAGTCTGATGTACCAAAGTAGCCCTCTTACTAAAAGGTTTAGACCCTCCTGCATCGGCAAGGAAAAACTAAATAAATAGAGACACAGTTTGAAAGCAGGAAGTGGGAGGTTGCATGGACGGTGTGACAGAATGTTATCACTGCTGCAGGAAGCGTCTGGGGAGGGAGCTGGAAGGCCACGGTGATGCTGTGCAGGCTGTCCAGGACGAGAGGGTGAAGGTGATGGACAGCACCAACCCACGCGTGGTGCTGCGGAACTATATCGCCCAAAACGCAATCGAGGCGGCAGAGAACGGAGACTTTTCTGAGGTACACAAGAATGGTTTTCACGATGTTTTATTGTTCTACCCCTCCAGATTGGTTTTATCACGGTTTTCTGGTTTAAGTAAAAAGTCAAATCCATTCATCTTTGTGCATCCCAAACAACAATATTTTGGTAATTTCTAAAAGGACTTTGTATGATACATCAACAATCAATGAAATAAATCACTAACCTTTTTTTTCTATTGTTCACTATCACAAAACGGTTATTTTTTATGTATTTGATCACATGTGAACCTCTGACATTTATAGACAAAGTTATTCTGTTGGGAAGACTGCTCATTTGCTGTTTGGATTCTTTTTTTCTTACTTAAATATTCAAGCCTGAGCAAACTCTCAATCCACAAGGTTCATGTTTCTCTATTAAGATCATTTATTTTGTGATTCTCGGCCTAAAATATTCTAGTTTTTTACCTTTTGCCAAATCCCGTATTTAGTCACTGATCAACCGGGCACGTCTCAGGTCGACTAAGAAATGTCTATTACTGCCCTAGAAAACGAATATGGAAAGACTTTGTCAATGTTAAAGGTACTGTATAAAGGAGGATTTTCTTCCTCCGGGTCGATCATCAAGACTATTGGTCCTCCTAATTTTCAATCATTCTGGTGATACGTGCTCATCAAGTAAGACCAGAGAGTTTTGCTCAAAAAGTGGAGAAAGCGGTTCTTTCCTAAAATTTTGGAAAATCCTCCTGATATACCTTTTAACGTTGACTACTTCCAAATGCATATGTGTTTGCCCTGACCTCCTTCCTACTGTCACCGCAGGTCCAGAGAGTCCTGAAGGTTCTGGAAAAGCCCTTCTCCTCACAGCCAGGACTAGAGCTTCCCACGTGGGTCGGAAAGAGCGGAGCGGCTGAGGAGGCTGAGAGGGAGGAATCTGAAGAAGAAGCCGCTTCATCGTCCACCGTCAGAGCGGCTTTGCCTTACACCAGCAAGCCCCCGACGTGGGCGCAGGAAATATGTGTTACATGATCCTCGTAATCACTTTCTTAATTAGCTGCCAAGAGACAACATGGCGTCTGCGGTGATCTCTGGCAGCAAGAAAGTGAACGTGAATCAAAGCAGCCCAGACAAAGCACAATACAAAGCAGGCAAGGAATAGATCTGTATCCACATGTTTCAGTTCAATCTTGTATTTCCCCAAACAATAAAAATTGATCGAATAATTACCCGCGAAACATGGAGAACAGCTGCAAAATACACCATAATACAGTACAAACTCTATCTTTAGCATAATAAGGAAAGAATTCTTAAAATCTCCAACTTTAGTATGATGAAGAAGCAAGAATAAAACACAAAAAAACCCTGACTTAAGAATTTCTCGGAGGATTTAACAATACTGTTGAAATCGCCAACACTGATCCGAGAATCAAGCCCAAGAAATGCAATTATAGAAAAACACATAGAGCCGTTGGTCCTGGATCTTCACCACTGTCCTTTGACCCTCCTACATCAGTACGTGCTAACAAAAAGGCTCACATACCGTTTTAGTAAAATGTTGTAGAACCAATTCCATGTCTGCTTGGTATTGCTTGAGCTATAAATGACGAGTCAGATGCAAAGTCTCCCATGGACCCATCTGAGTCTGAGCGTGTGGGCTGCTGGTAACACAACGTTTCCAATGTAAACTGGACACAGAGCAGTCCTCAACCGTTTGGGGGCAAAAAGGTAATTTACACAAAGTCACAAGCCAAATGGGATTCTTCTACTTTTAAACTGTTTATCTGTACATGCGCTGTATATATCTAGAACCTGTATTTTAACAAATTAAATCATGGAATGTATCTTTTGCGTTGATGTGTACGTTTGCTATGATTAAAAAAGCTTCTGCCAAACTCATGATTTTATTGTTGTTCATTGTGTATAGCAGACAAACAAAATCCAGCCCGCAAGACCATTTTTAGTGGTCCTTAAAGTGGCAGGGCAAGTTTATTTGTCTCGCACAATTCATACAGAAGGCAACTCAAAGTGATTCTCAATTATTATCATTAACTTGCAGTATTTATTATGATGGGTAATGTATAGGCTCTTTTTCTTAGATTGAATTAAAGGTAAGTAAGTAAGTAAGTTTTTATTTATATATCGCCTTTTCACTGCAGATCTGAGTCTCAAAGCGGTTTACAATTGTTAATTTTTGGGCATTTGTCTCTCACTCCACACAGAGATGGGAGCAGGGCCAGTACAGGAGGCGCATGCCAGAACTATTGGACATATTTTTAGTGGTAGGGGAAACCGGAGTACCCGGAGGAAACCTACGCAGACACGGGGAGAACATGCAAACTCCACTCAGAAAGGCCCTGGTCCGACCGGGATTGGAACCCAGGACCTTCTTGCTGAGAGGCGAGAGTGCTATCCACTCAGCCACCGTGCCACCCGAGGCACGGTGGCTTAGGTTGTCTTCCTAACATTTGAACCCAACACATTAGAAGTTGAATATAAAACAATGTGCTTAACTTTATATTTGGTCCAGTTTTGGTTCAATCCAAACCATAAATAATTTGGTTTTCAGGAAGTAATAGTGAAACTCATGTCAAATATAGGTCATGACAAAATACCTTCATAATATTGAAACTATTATAAGAAAATTAACTCCCTTCAATTGTTTCAGCCCCTGACCAGACAGTTCTATTTTAGTTTATTCTTAAATCGACCCCTGACCACAATACGTTTTTACAGCCCTGGTCTGTAGCGTGTGTTATGCAGTGTATCTCAACTGCATAACTGTAAAATATTTGCGCCTGGAGCAGGGTCGTGTTTCTACATGTTTCAAATACTCTGCTGCACACGAAAGAGCACCGCCACCATCCCAACTCTAATATGCCAATTCCAAAAGTCCATTGTTTTTCCACGGGTCATCAGCACACACTCTGCTGAATATTATCTCAATCTTTGGTGGGAGTTGGCGACTGTGATAAATTTTGTCACAAAGAAGGAAGTAAAATCGACTGTATACTGGCAATATATAATAACAAAAATAACATCTTCATGACTGTAGAGAACATAAACATGATGATGGTGACGAGAATGAGGATAGATAGTATTGATATAGTATACAATATAATTTATAATCGTTTTGCAGTAGTAGTAGTTTTATTTTAGCAGTTTTACCATTTATTTTTTACAGATACATGTATACTTCAATAATTGTTTGTGGTTGAAATAGCTGGGTTTTTGGTCACCAGGCAGCTAAAGTGAAAGTATGTGCATGTAAATGGGGTGGGAGTTCATGAGTCTAATTCGTCCCACTCCATTTCAGGTCTCTATAGGGCAAAGAGGAAAATGCTTGTACAGTATGTATGTCAAACAACCTCTATAAACCTGGAAATAAAAAAAAATACATGAAGTTTTGCACCTCTGATGTGATTGCGTGTCTGAGCACCAGGAGTGGCTCGGACTGACCTCTGGGTGCGCCCTGAGCGGCACACGCAGAGCTGTGCGCAGAAGCCTGAGCTCAGAGGTGGGATCTGGGACAATGGGTGTGTAACAACAGTCTATGGTAACGACGGAAGCGACAGGACGCGCACGCACATCTCCTGCTACAGCACCTTTCAGTTTACGTGGGTAGGATGTCGAATCGCATCAGGCCTGGATACTGCCGTCAGGATGTAAACAAAACCACTTGGGAAGTCCCGGAGCGGTACCGTGAGCTGCGGCAGGTGGGGACCGGCGCGTACGGGACAGTGTGGTGAGTGCGTCTACGGTCTCCGGTCTACGGTCTCCGGTCTACGGTCTCCGGTCTACGGTCTCCGGTCTACGGTCTGTGGGCTGGATCATGATCTTTGTTTGTGCGGAAATCGACTACCACAGCGCGTAATGCGGAGAGCTGCGTAACAAAGAGTGACGTGACATATGGTGCCACCCGGACACGCGCTTTGTGTCACGGACAAAAGAACTGAGAGAAACACACAGCTGCACTTCCTGATGTGATGGTGACAGGGCCGCCGCCGTACGTGTGCGTGGATCTGTACGTGTGCGTGTGTCTGTATATGTACCTATGCGTGTATCTGTGCGTAATTCTGCGTGTGCGTGTATCTGTACCTGTGCGTAAGCGTGTACAGTATTTGTACCTGTGCGTGTGGGTATATACGTGCGTGTACGTGTACGTGTATCAATGCTTTTGCGTGTACGTGTCATGGGGCTGCTCACGGATCACAACATCAACATGAGACTGTGACCAATGGATGAAGACAGAATCTGTGCGGTGCTGGTCTCTCTCTCTTCTGGGACCAGTATGGACCAGTCTAACCAACGGTCAAACCCAGAACCCTCACACACTGACATTCACTCAATGACCCTAAAAGGCCTGATACTGGGACAGTATAAGGCCATGTTTACACTGCAAACAGCTCTATGTCCCAACCTCCAGACCAAGGCTTTTCTGTGTGAGATCCGTGTGTGGTTTGTGATTGGCTGACACATGATCCTTCAAACAAACACAAAACAAAAAACGACAACAACATCTTGGCAGGGATTCTACATGACAGGACTGTAGTGATTACTTTATAAAACAAATATTATATATTTTGAATAGACAATGGTTTCAGGAAACGGGAAACTGATGTCCATCAATAGCAGCATTCATAACTCGGAAACTCAAAAGGCTTTACACAAGAAGAAAGATTCACATCATAAAACACCAATAATCACAAAACATGAATAAAATAAGAGAAGCACCTGTCAGTGTTCACTTACAGTTCAACACAAGTGTTTTTCAGCCTGTTCCAGGTGTTAGCTGCGTTAATGATCAGTTATTTCTGTGTCAGTTAATACCAGGTTTTTAATCTAAACAATGATGTCAAACTGAGGCAGTGTCACTTTATCACACACAAAGTGTTGTATATACTGTGTTGTGTGTCTTTATCACACACAATGTGTTGTATATACTGTGTTGTGTGTCTTTATCACACACAATGTGTTGTATATACTGTGTTGTGTGTCTTTATCACACACAGTGTGTTGAATTTACTGTGTTGTGTGTTTGCAGCTCGGCGGTGGACTCCAGAACCAGAGCTAAAGTGGCCATAAAGAAACTGTACAGACCGTTCCAGTCAGAGCTGTTCGCCAAACGGGCCTACAGAGAACTGAGGCTGCTCAAGCACATGAAGCACGAGAACGTACGTATCAGGGACTGATGAGGGACTGATGAGGGACTGATGAGGGACTGATGAGGGCTCTATCAGGGACTGATGAGGGCTCTATCAGGGACTGATGAGGGACTGATGAGGGCTCTATCAGGGACTGATGAGGGCTCTATCAGGGACTGATGAGGGACTGATGAGGGCTCTATCAGGGACTGATGAGGGCTCTATCGGTCCCGTGGTGTTTTGTGAATAAAGGCGATTTGGCTGAAGAGCTGAATGCAAACAGCAGGTCATGTGACCCGTGTTCTCGCAGGTGATTGATCTGTGTGTCTTGCAGGTGATTGGCCTCCTGGACGTGTTCACCGCAGACCTGTCTCTGGACAGATTCACTGATTTGTAAGTATTCCGCATGGAGAGAGTGTGGTTGTTGTGATGTCACTGATGGACTGTGTGCAGTTACCTGGTGATGCCGTTCATGGGCACAGATCTGGGGAAAGTGATGAAGCTACAGCGGCTCTCTGAGGAGAAGATCCAGTTCTTAGTTTATCAGATGCTCAAAGGGCTGAAGGTGGGTCTACATTTTCTCTGCACACTCATGTAATCATGCTCACTCTCAACGTGAATGTGTTCTTTTACTGTTACAGTATATTCACTCTGCTGGTATAATACATAGGGTAGGTCCAAACCCCCTTCTCTTACCTCTTTGACAAACTATTTACTTTTCTGTACTTAAAACAATAATAATGTTTCATCTTTTTCAGGATCTTAAACCAGGTAATCTCGCCATTAACCAAGACTGTGAATTAAAGGTAGTTATTTAGACAACGTTCTGTTTTTTTTGCTCAAATCAAAGCGATGCATTTTATATTTACTACATAGACGTGCTGTCAGGTTGTTACATTGATCTACTCTCTGTCGTTCAGATCATAGACTTCGGGTTGGCGCGGCAGGCGGACAGCGAGATGACCGGGTACGTGGTGACGCGCTGGTACCGAGCCCCAGAGGTCATCCTCAACTGGATGCACTACACTCAGACTGGTAAAGACGATAACAATATTCACACATTTTATATTCAATTCAATGCAACTATGTTTATATAGCCCTAAATCACAACAGTAGTTGTCTCAGGGGACTTCTTTACAAAGCTGTCGAGAGCCATTGGTTCATAAGGGGCGGATAGGGTCCATAATAAATGTTGTTGAATGTCGAGTGTCTTGGGTCCTCACCACTGTCCTTAGACCTTCATGCAACTGCAAAAGGAAAAAACTTTTAAAACCCAGTGGGAGAAAAGAACCTCAGGGAGATCCATATTGGGAGAGGGTCCCACTCCTGGCCGGGCTGTAGATCCAGGACTGTTGCTGTTGGTCAAAGAGTCTCCAACTGCAACAAAAACCCGCACGGCTATAGCCACTTATATATCTTGCACAAAACACACTATATTTTTAACCTTTAACATGTTTTCCCACTTTTTGAGTTATTCTATCTTTGCGAAAAAATATCTCCACTGTGAGATTAATGAAGTTTATCTTATTTTGTTTAGTATTACCAATGGAGAGGTGAACAGTTCTCTATTTGTTGTTATGTGATTAAGTAAAATGTATAAATCAGATAAAGGTAGAAGTTACTAGTGGCTATATCTCATCTTAAAACTAATAATTTATTTTCAGTTCAATTATATGATATACGAGTCCTGTGTAATTATTGTACTTAACTTCTTGGTGGAGGCCTGTTAACATGACAGCCAATACACATATTCATTCTTTATGTATTTTTTAGCTTTTTTAATCTCTTGACTTTCTGTTTTCTCCTTAGTGGACATTTGGTCCGTGGGCTGCATCATGGCGGAGATGCTCCAGGGAAAACCACTATTTAAAGGCAGCGATCGTATCCTTCTTCACCAAATTCTGCATCACATTTTTCCTCAAAAATAAGAAATCATTTTGATAAAGTTTGTATCATTTTGCGCTGAAGCTTTGAGCCTTTCTTAACGCACATCCGTAGACCTGGACCAGCTCACCGAGATCATGAAAGTCACCGGGACGCCGTCTCATGATTTCGTGTCAAAACTTGAATCCGAAGATGTGAGTTTTTCGGTTACTTCGGTTCCTTTCAAATATTACAGATACAAAATACGGATTGTGCGTGTTTTTGTTTTTGTTTTAAAGGCCAAAACGTACATCGAAGCTCTTGATAAAATAGAGAAGAAAGATCTAACGAAAGTGTTTCCAGACAACGATCCTCAAGGTAAGACCTGGTCAGCTTTATCCGATCATTTCTATCCACTCTCTTTGATCGATACTGAAATCTGTAAAGAACATTTTTTGTCAAGAATTTGTTGTTAATGATTACAGATTATTAATTTTAAAGTTGGGCTACCTAACGTTTTTTCTTCTTAATAATAGTGTTAGCACCACATAACGATCAAAAATGTATTAATCTTATTAGAAAAGATGTTACCTATTGCATACTTGTAAAAATGAGCCATATGAGTCATTATTTGACTCTTTGGGCTGAGAGCTGATTGGCTGAGGGTGGTTCTCAATTTTTCACTTTTCTGTTAGAAAAAATAGATCCAATGAGGTGAAAAGAACCCAAAAAAGCATGGATTTGAAAACTGGTGTTGGTTCCAGACTGCAAAAATAGTTTGACTTTCTTACATAGTTCCATAGTTAAATTGTTTAGTAGTTTTGAAAGTTAGGTACCCCAGCTTTAATTGCCTTCCAAACACCAGGAATAATGTATATAAGCTATAATTTCCAAAGTGCAATTATAACTATAGTTTTAACTTCTATGTAACTTGGGGATTTATAAGCAGCTATTAGCGTTTATTACTATCTAAATACAACGGCTATGCTATCCTGTTGTATCCATGGAAACATACTATCGGATTATACCCTCTTTGTGCCTTTTATGCCTCCTGTAATGTTCTGAGTTCTCTCTCCGTGGTGCAGCTAAAGGTCATCTTGTCTTATCTTAATCCCAACATTTATTAACTTGATTGAAATATGTAAACGGAGATTACTGAGTGTACATACTTTTAGATTTCACCATCAGGCTGAAGTCTTTAGACTGAAAAACATCTCTCTCTCTCTCTATCTTATCTATCTTATCTATCTTATCTATCTTATCTATCTTATCTATCTTATCTATCTTATCTATCTATCTATCTATCTCTTTTTTCTGTACTTCTGGGCTCCTCATATCTTGAATCAATGGACACTACATACAGTATTTCCCTGTGTTTTTCTTCCAGCGGTGTGTGTGCTGGAGTGCATGCTGCTGCTGGACCCGGAGAACAGGGTGACCACGGCTGAAGCTCTCTCGCTGCCATTTTTCTCCATTTTCCGAGAACCGGACGAGGAGACCGACGCTCTGCCGTACGACCACTCTTTGGACAACGCCGAACTCACCGTGGACCAGTGGAAGCGTAAGCATGGATGGTGGTGACTGGTTTTTACAAAGATTATTCATGTATTTATTCATTTAAATATTTATCTTGTTTTTAGGTCATACCTTCACAGAGATCTTGACTTTCAAACCTGTTTTTCTGGAAACGAAAGAAACTTCACTTTGACGAAACCGAAGACTAAATGTATGAATAAACTGGTACTATGACAAAGAAATGCCCTTTTCGACTTTAAGGTGCAACACGCAACTTTCCTAATACCCAATTTCAAACAAAGATGTCATTCTTTGCATGTAATCTATCTCCGTATGATTTCAAATGTGTACATTCTTGAATTACAAACGTTTTTACTGCTCAAAAAACCAATCAGGAGCGGCACTGGTCTGTCTCCTCTCGTGCCACTCGCTAGGTAAAGTCAAATTCTGCAGCAAAAGGCTCCCAATTGGTCCGTTGTTAGGGCTCTTATATGGATTTACAAAGACTCTATACAGTATAAACACCAGGATCACAGAAAGCGCTAAGCTGTGGACTTTTTAAGCCAAAAATGGTGAGTTTGACAGAAACAGTTTCTGAGCTCGAGAAGTTTACTTTTCAATGTAAGCTAATTGGATTCAGAGCAAGTAGGAGCAAAACTCTGTCTGTGAGTACTTCCCTATTGGGTTAAATTGACCCGCGGGTTAGCATTGTCCATCTGTATACAGTCTATGGTTCTTACATTGGGTTAGATTGTCTCTTTATCCAGTTGGAAAAGTTGAAATCTTTACTGTGAAACATTGCAGGCAAAACAACAACTTTTAGAATGAGTGGAAGACAAAGCTGATCTCCTACTTGAAAAATTGTGTAGTTCAGCTTTAACATATTATTAAATGTGCGTCGTGCATGGAGAAAAACATCACCCATGTAGCCAGCAGCCTAGCAAAACACTGTACTATACAACTTCTGCAAATACAAGGGCTAGTGGGGGATTTTTATTGTCGTACTTCTTTGAATGTCAATATGTCTGTACTGTATTTTGTGTGTACGTCATAAGGCCTAGAGACCTCACTTTTATTCCGAATGCCTTATCGATAACCGTTTTGAATGTTTACCACTCAGGCTTTTTCCATTTGTATGTATATATTTCTATATTTTTTGTAAATTGTTTGTAACGTGTCAGCTTTTCTACAAATAAAACCTGACTCTTTTTGTAACTTATACGGTTGTTGTTCTCACTCACCGACAGCAGAGGGCGCCACATATCACTGTAAACATGGGAGACGCAGTTGTCCTGGTCAGAGGGTTCACAAAGTACATGTAAGCAGAGCAAAAGTAGATGGACCTGCATGAATTCTGGTGTTATCATTTCACAATTTGTTTTTCTTAGTCTGAGGGAGCAATGTAAAAGATTTCTGGTATTTCCGCGTTTGACCACATGAAACCTGGTCTTATGTAACAGACTTTTCTCACTTTGTTATTGTAGCTCAACATTAGACAGAGCGGATTTACTGTTCCAATATTAACAGCTGCGGCTCGTATTTTCATTTTTCTGATTCTTACGCTGGATAATGTGTGTGTCATTGTGCCTCCAGTGATGAAGACCCAACATAGGACCCTCTGTAACGGTCAAATCCAATATTTCATTCAACCACAGCATTGAGCATAGTTTAATGTGGTCAAATCAAAAACAAAGCTATTTTGTTTCAACACAATATTATTTCAGCCAACTTCAAAACTTGCCAAACACTGGACAGGGGAGGGCAAAAATAATAAATTCTTATATAAATCTAGATATTTTTTTTATTTGATATTTTTGCTATAGCCTCTGCTCTGAGAAAGCATCGGGCAGAAACACTACCATAGAGTGTATACATATATATTGTATTTTTTCCCTTATTAAAATATGAACCAATTGAATGTGAGTCTATATAAAAATAAATCTTTTTTTTTTTTACTTAGTAACTTTTTTTTCATATATATATGTATTTTAAATTGATATTTTTTAAAATTCAGATAACAGAAATATGAGGCTGAGAACAATTTTTCAACAACCAATCTTCAATAAATGAAATATAAATGCACCTACAGCTGTTAAAAACCAGACATAGCCCTAGATATGTCGCCAAAAGCCATAGTTGTTGCTAAATTAGATTGAAACAGTTGGAAATATAACAAATTGTGTCAAACTGTGTCAAATTGATGGTATATATATGTCATACATCGTGGCCCAAAAGGCATTATTTCTTACTAAATTGTATTGAAACGATTGGAAATATAACAAATTGTGTCAAACTGATATGTATAGGTATTTATTACACCGTGGCCCATGTATCTAGGTACATATTGTATCATCACAAACTCTAAAAGAACCCGTCTCTTTTCTGAACATGGCAGAATCATGTTATTTCCACAGAACACCATAATTCCCCCCAAAAAAATCACATATTATTGAAGTCACTGAAAAATCCCTGCACTACCAGCTGTTTAACCAATTTATCTGTGCAGCCATCAGCCCCATCAGTCCTCCCCCTGCTATCTCCACGTTCGTACATTCTTGCCTTTTGGATGCTTGCTCATTCCTTGACACGTCTTTGGAGGTTGCAGAATCTAACAGGCTTTGAATAACCTGGAGGTCTTTGACTCCCTGTGGTTCACTCCCAAGAGGACCGTGCAGCCTCCTTCCTTCCTTCCTTCCTTCCTTCCTTCCTTCCTGGGTCAGACCAAGTCGCATGGGTGCTGCTTATACTTTTTCGACGGTTCACCCAAGAGTCACCAAGTTCCCTCTCTATATACTGACAAAAAAGCACATTTCTGAGCCCCCTCTGCTGCACAACACAGCAGCACATGGACAAACTGTCTCTCCCCTGACTTGTTTGTTGACCCTGTGGTTTATTTCCAGAGCGCCTTGGATTCAAACAACATTTTTCTTCACACACACACACACACACACACACACACATACACACACACACACACTGAATGCACTCACCACTGATTGACACTGGAGGGAGTGTGGTGCTTCAACCACAAAGCCCCAACACCACTCTGACCTGGGTCGACCACTTCTGCAACTACTGGGGAGGTCCTTCTTCGTGAAAGCCCATGTCTGCAAAAAATAATTGGATGTTTTAGTAACTGATATTAAATTCTTAGAGGGGTATCTATCTATCTATCTAAGTATCTGTCTATCTATCTACCTGTCTATCTGTCTACCTACCTATATCTGCCTATAATGTAAAATCTAAATGTGGATTGTCCCCATAGGGAGATTTGTCCTTTGCATTTGACCCATCCTGATGCCCCTTAAGGCTTCTGTCAGGAGCGGTGGTCGCCGTAGTAACAGCGCCCGGGAACCCATCTTCAGATGTTGGTACTCGGCTTGGTCAGGACTATACCGGAGATGGAGGATTTTTACCTATTGTGCATTTTTTTATTGGTAGGGGAAACCGCAGCACCCGGAGCAAACCTACGCAGACACGGGGAGAATAGGCAAAATCCACTCAGAAAGACCCTGTTACGACCGGGATTCGAACCCAAGAGTGTTATTCAGTCAGCCACTGTGCCACCCAAAGATCTATCTATGTATCTATCTCTCTATATCTATCTCTCTCTCTCTCTCTTTCAATCTATCTATATCTATCTAGGTTTTAGTAACCAATTTAAAACTCTGGGCTTAGAGGGGTCTCTTGTCGAATATGTGATCGCAGTAGGCAGATGAGAACGACTGATCAGCTGACAATTGTAACTAATGATCACCGCGAAACAGCAATTCCCCAGACTTTTATTTCTCATCAGTTAAACCACGGACTGCCGCTGAGCCTGAGCATAATCAGGGATTGTTTATTCCACAAATAATTTAGCTTGTCATGTCCTCAGTGAAGATCAAATAAACAGATTCAAGGGCTCAGTCAGAGGAGATGAATTGATCGCAGATATACCAGAAGGGAACGGGGGAAAAACAGTGTCCTTGTCCGCCTTGGCTTGGAGTTTTGTAAAGATTTATTCTGTATATATTAAACAGAAGTATTTTTGTGGACGTGGATTTGGTCGTGTAGCCTCGAGCTTCTTTCAGATTTCAGAGAGTGTCTGCTTCTGTTGGTCCTGGTTCACTCTGCGCTGTTTCTGTCAGAGATGTGTGTTAGAAATGTATTTTCGTGGGGAATAATACGGTTTTGTGTTTATGTAACACTTAAAAATACTTCCAGGACTTTTTTGTCACATTTTTAGTGAAGAGTGTTTTGGTTTATGATGAGCTGATACTGTTGGATTTATACACAATAACTAATAAGCTGAAAACACAATACAAAATATGTTATCGTGCATACATCCATATCACATATTCGTGTCATAAGGACCAACTTGGACTCTGAGGAGCACAGGGACTGGCCTCCTGCTGGGACTTTGAGGAGCACAGGGACTGGCCTCCTGCTGGGACTCTGAGGAGCCCAGGGACTGGTCTCCAGCTGGGACTATGAGGAACACAGGGATTGGTCTCCAGCTGGGACTATGAGGAACACAGGGATTGGTCTCCTGCTGAGACTCTGAGGAGTACAGGGACTGGAACAGTCGACCTGAAAATGTGAGACAAGCATCTGACGATGTTCAGTGATTATTTTTGTATATCCTTTAATTCAAACTATAGTCTACATTTTAAATTGTGAATTTTATATTCTAAGATCAGCACCTAAAAAACTGGGAACCCAAATGAGAGCCTCATTCTGCTCTTTGATTGGATAATAAATACTTTGGACATCATGCCCCATTTAAACTTTTCAATCAATCAATCAATCAAATTTTATTTATGAAGCGCTTTTCATACAAAAGATGCAACACAAAGTGCTTTACAGTTTGGTTAAAAACAATCCCGCCGACCCATGTCCCCTCCCCCCGACCACCCAACAGACCCATCCCAAACCACAGACAAACACACACACGCTCCCATGCACACACACACACACACACACACACACACACACACACACACACACACACACACACACACACACACACACACACACACACACACACACAAGTAAAACAGTAAAACAATGATGAGAGACTTGGCAGGGTTCGGATGCAACCAGTTGAAAAAGCGTCATCCTAGGAGCCGTCTGCACCAGGAGCAGAGAGCCGCCGGTAGCCACAGGGGACGACACAGGATCTAGAGGAGACCCGAAACCGAGGCCCCAGGC